CCTACTGGTTTTTGGAAAGATGAAAATCGTGTCAATTTAGTAGTTGCAATAATTTAATTAAACTTAAAGACTGCTGTGATTTCTTGTATATCATTATGTAATGAAAATGTTACACTGGTTCAGGCATGTTCAGTTCAGGCAGGAGGCTTATGCACAGCTTGAAGTTGTGCCAAATTTCGTGTTGCTGGATTTGAACTGTGCTCACTCTCTGATAAGGAAATGTACTGATACTAACCTACATTGTACCTGTGTAGGCATTAGTACATTGTATGTTTATGTACCATTAACCATGGTCAGCTGGGGTAACTCTGCTGCCACATCCTTTTCACATTAAGGAAAACCGTCTGTGCAACTTGACTCTGCATTGCATGGTAATACTGCCTGGCAAAAAAAATTTCAACATAGAAGTGAAAGTACATGTACCCTGTGGCTCTCTTTGAATAGCTCAATCCATTACGAAAAGCACAGATCCCCAGATATATGTGTCCCATCTTGACAGAGTGGAACCCAGCATGTTTGCCAGAGATACATGTAACAGGGGATGTTGCGCTCATTAAGATCGCATGCAAAAGGAAACTGCGCCAGGTGGCTTCTGCTAAAAGTCACATTTAGGTCTGACTTACTCATCACCTCTTATGTCAGGAATGATGCACGTTATCTAACAATAACAGACTTTAATTTATCCAAAAAAGGGTGAAGGATTTAGGACTGCCAGGTTTAAATAAAACTACTGTTCCTTTAATGGGCAAATGTAACCCAGTTCTTGATGATCAAATACAGGAATCTCCAATTGTGTTTGTTTGCTGGGGGGTAAAATAACGTACAGGTGTGATGGAATAAGATGAATACAATGTCAGAGATGCTAACTTGTACAGTTTAGGTGTAATGTTTATGATTTGTTTAGTCCCTCTACAACTGTACGATCCAGGCTAAGATTTTTATGATTTCTAACTCGAAAAAAACAAAACCATACAGTTGTGTATAAACTCTACGTAAGCTAGCACAGAGCCAGCCTCGTAATGCGCACATCAGAAATGTGTCCCTGGCATCCAGCAGTTTGTGCATACAAGCTGCGTGAGTAGCAGTGGAAACCAGCGTGATTGAATCATCTGTTCGTCCCAATTAATGCTGTGATGAACAAGGGGCAAATAGGCTTGATTGCACTTCAAATGCAACGTGATTGTGTATGGCTTGTGCATGTATTGATATCGTTCACACGTGTTGAACATCGTGATCGTGATAAAGTTGACCTGAGTGGAGGACTGTCCAAGATTTGATTCTTGGATATTTGGTGAGCAGCTAGACTTGTTTCGCACAATGGCAACAAGGGAGCAGAAGTTCAGGGATAAATACCCCACAAAAATGGATGGGGCTTTACTGCAAAGTTTTATCATCACAGTCGTGGAGAAGCTTGTGTGTTTTTGCAAGGCATGTAATTGACATGATGAATATTGCCCACCCAATATAGACCTTGCAACACCGAGAAGCAAATTAGTTTGGCCAAGAAGAAATAGATCTGCTTCTGATTAAATACGGTCATTAGGTAAGGATTTTTTAACAATTTTTTGCTGATTGAATGGGACAAAAGTTTCCAAAAATTGCAACATAAGTGATTAAAATAAAAACTTATCAGAATTAATGTGGGAATATAATCAACAAAAGGACAATTTACACTTGCACAATGCTAGTCAGGTAATTACAAGTGTTTTGACTTGCACAGAAGTTGAGAGGTGTTTGTGTTGAAAGAAAAAACAACATGTTTTTTGTAAACTTTGTTTTTTTAATATTTTTATTCTAATTTGCCGATGGAACTTTTTAGGGTCGCACCAAAAAAATTATAGTTGGAAACCGGAACTGGAATTGCAATAGGATTACACTTTTTGGTATTGAAAAGTTGGCATTTCTGTAGGACATAACTCCGAATTAAGAAATTTTGGCAGAAGTGTTTTGAACTCACCAGTAAGTCTGTTTCTGTGCTGTAGGTCAAACCATTCCTCGAGAAAGGTACTGGACAAAACAATTTGGCCTGTTGCAATGCTCTCTGGTTTTGTGCCCTTAATTTCACCTCATAAATAATGAATGCACAAATGTTGTTCGTGTCCCCATGGAACAATATGGCTGTAATGATCTGTTTGCCATGAAGGTTAAATTACACATAGCTTCTCCTAGATGAAGAAACAGGAGTGATTCTCAATATGGCGTAATCCCAATATTCATCTGCAAAAAGGTATGAGTTTGGCTCACAGGCCATGTGAGTCTGAAGAAATTTTAAAGCTCATGTGACTCCACGTAGTGTCAAAGAAGGTCGAATTTTTTCGTGAAAGATTATTGTTTTATAAGCAAGCACAGGTTACTGATGATTTAGTAACTGTGATTGCTATGCAGTAGAGTTGTGTGATGCTGGCATTTTCGCACAGTTTAGTAGACTCCTTCCATTGATTTGAGCTTCCTTAGGACAGTTCAGTAGAATTGTAAATAATCCCAATTTCTTAAGATTTTTATTCTTGTAGTGCACATAATTATTTAACCAGATTCAACTCCAACCAAGCTTTTCCTTTTCCAAGACCAACCACAGCCTGACAGCTGTAGATGAGACCCCTTGGCCCATTGACCTTCAGTCTTTAAGGCAGAGCCTGTGGTTGGGGAAATACCCCTCTCCTGGCTGGTTTTGAATAAACACATCCTGTTGTTGACTTCACACAAACCACCAATTCCCCATAAATGTGCAGATGGTATTTTAGGAGACACTTCACAACAGTTCAAGGGTTTCCCCAGAGGTGATCATAGATCTGTTGGTTATTGGTACACACAGTACATGTAAATGTGCACACAATGCAAAGTTGTTCCATAGTTGTAGAGACGTTTTGTTCTACCTGGGAGCCAGCCACCAAGAAAAGTTAGTGGGTGGAAAACCTGGGATAAACATTCAGGGGAAGCCCAAGGAATTGGGTAGGGACTGAAAACCCAATCTGCATGCCAGCCTTGATGGAATTTGAACCTGGGTCACAGAGATGGATGGCATTGACAATATCACTTCCCAAAGCTGACTCCCAATGACACACATACGTACATTATACATGTACATGTAGGACTTTTCTGAAGGAAAGATTGACTACTGAAGAATAACCAAGGATAGGAATAGATCCTTTGTTGTTCCTTTTGTTTTGTCTGTCCTGGATGGTAATGTAATTGATGTAAACACGCATTCATTTACAGCTGGCAGAAAATGTGTCAAACGCAGTGTTTGGTAGTGTTTGACCTGTTTGTTACTCAAAACCATCCTGCAAAAATAGGAAATGATCCAGTGACAAGATAGTGAAGTTCAAGGTCAGACTCTGCCAGCAAGTTCCTTAGTGAAATATAACGCATATAATAAACAGAAGTGCTCTGCATTCACGGACAACAGACACATAGTAGATTCCTAATTTCCCATTCCTGGGATAATGTCAAAAGGGAAGTGGCCAAGAGATTATTGTCGTAGCAACCACACAACAAACAAACACAGCGCAAGCAGGATATTTGTGAATTTACATCAATTTGTATTCAAGAGGCTCCAACAAAATCTTATGTTGTGTACAATTACTGAAAAATCATCAGTGGAAAGTTTTTTGCTTTTTTTAACAATCGAGACCTCTTAATGGCACTGATGGGAGATTAACAGTGACTGTCGTTCTAACACTGGCCTATTACAAAAACATTGTTCTTTACAATTATGTGTTTGACGTTTAATGTAAGATTGAAATGTATTCAGGATTGAAAATCATTTTTAACTCACTTTTGTTTTGGCATGCAGGATCTAACAAAGTGTGTTGTTCACATGCATCACTTTCAAAGATGTTTAGTGGGATGTCGGTAATGGGGACAAATGACCTTTTCAGTATCTCCAAAGACCAAACCCACATTCATAAGAGAACTTTGTTCGTGGATGAACATAATCCAGTTCTTCGAGCATACAATTCTCACATGTTCACTCTTGGGGCATATAATTCTCATCCCCATAGGTTATCAAGAGATTTTGTCGTTGTAAATGCTGACTGGAATTCATTTTGTTAATTCTTTGGTCAGATATTGATGAATGTCGGAGCTCCCAGTGTGACCAGGAGTGCATCAACACCGAGGGCGGTATGCGATGTGAATGTGGGCCTGGGTTCACTCTCTCACCTGATGGCCAGGGATGTACAGGTTAGTGAGGACGAATATGACTTCCCCTTGCTCCGTTTTTCTTCTTTGTATTTTTACTCTATACCCTGTAGACATGTTTCTGAATTATATTCGAGGACAGTAGGTCCTCGGTTGGTAACCAGCCTTTCAGTTGTATATGGGTTAATGTGGACTAATCAATGAAATCCCTTCTTTTCTGTTTCACTGAATGTTCGCTGTATGTTCTGAGGACAAATGCTAGAATTATGTTTGAGGACAGTAAAGGTCCTTGTTTGGCAATCTGCCTTTCATTGGGAATATGAGTATGAATGCATTAAGCTCCAACACTGAATATGCCACAGGTTAGTCAGGAGATCCAAGTTGCTCACGTTTCAATTTAAAGACCCAATATCAAATACAGTATATGAGAATGTGCCTCTGAAGTCCTCACAGCATGAAATTTGAGGCCAGCTGAAGGGCGTTATTTTCCAGATGCTCGGTGATGCAACTGAAAGCCCCATCAGGGACACACTCTTGAAGAGAAATGTTCATGTGTTAACCTGTGTTAATGGTGATAGTATGGAGGACTGTGTGCAAGGTGTACCCTGCCCTCCAAATCCACCCTTGACAGTGATCAGACCTTGACGTGCTTCAAACTCGTACACAGCTTATAAGCTTGGCTTGTGAATTAAAAGTATGATTTTCTAGAGAGATTTTATTGGTGAATGGTGCTCACAGTTTTGTTAATGGGCATCTTGTACATTTCATTTTAAGTGGGAGAACTAGGGTCCACAGCTTAGGGAACAGGACCAGTAAAAGTTACAAAAAAAAACAGGGAGCAGTCTGAAGGACAAGATCTTTTGGAAACAAACTGCAAGTAACACCAAAGTGGATAAAAGTGCAATCATCGCAGAAAGATGTCCAACCCAACCGGCAAACTCAAAGTTCTGAGTCCAATCATAGCTTTCTAGGTTTGAAAGAAAGGGGCGGGAACAGTTAGCTTTGACTCAAGAGCTCAATCCTTGCTAGTTTGCCTGTACTGTCATTGGTGACAATTACTATCCTTTCCAAGGATGTTTGTACATGCAAAGTGTAATGTGTGTGTTTAGAGGGAGTGGTTATGTCACAGTCACATGGGACCATGTCTCAGACTGTGCACTGAGAACGGATGGGAAAGGATGGCATATGTAAATTGTAAACTCTGAGGAAAAGCAGGGGCTGGAAATCACTCGTTGGCAGGAGTGATGAGATTATTTGGTTTGAAAACAATTTCATCTTCGCTTGGGCTTACTGAGGAATTGGTGTCTTCTGTGGGCTAGGGTTAATGGAGGATCAGTGGGTCTCATCTTAGGGTTGTCGGGACTCAAGCAGTTTACTGGAGAAGAGACATATTTAAAGGCTGTTCAAGGGGATTGAAGGTTTCCTTAGGACTGTTTTCATGTAACTGCTGCTGGAGGGATTCATTGGACTAACTAGGCATGAGTCTTATCTAAGGGCTGCTGGGGATCACAGGACGAAATAAGATAAGGTAATGTTTTTCTAGCAAGGGCTGTAGGGAGAATTGAGGGCTATAGCCTGGAAATGGGTACCACAAATGTTTTAGGCTAATGGGTGTAATGGAGGAATGTGTGCCATCTATGAACTTCTGGGGTTAAAGGATTTTAACTTAGAATGGGGTATCTTCAGAAGACGAATGAGCATCGGGATCAAAGGGTTTAATGGGGTTGGGAGTTGTAAAACTGCATCATGACTTTTTGCTTGTTTGTACTAAGCCCTCATTTGAGAGCATTTTCGTTCCTTGAATTGGAGCCGTGGCATAACTAGAGTATGTTTGTTGGGAGCAGTGGCAGAACTAGGGATATTGTCGGGGGGGGGGGCACCTGGGATGCACACTTTTTTTCAAGGGGGCACCAAAAGACAATCAGCAGAGGTTATTCATGGATTCAGATGGGGGCGCCTGGGGGGCACAGGCATTTGTGCCCCCCAGTTGCCCCCCCCCACCCATAGTTACGGCACTGGTTGGAAGGGGGTGATGTCCAGGGTTTCGTACATTTTTTAGTGGGCTTCCAGAAAGCAAATGGCATGCGACTAGAACATAGGTTGTGTGCATTCAAAGTTTTAAATGGGGGAAGGGAGCTTTGGGCCCGGGGCATTCCCTCCTTCCCTGTGGCCCCCCAGCCATGCAATTACCTTAATAACTGATTAAAATCTCATATCCACCATGTTATCATTTATATCTTGTACCAGATATTGATGAGTGTGCACGCAGTGACTGGCAGCCCTGCCATCATACCTGCATCAACTCAAGGGGGAGCTTCAGGTGCTCCTGCCAACCTGGATATTACCTGCACCAAAATGGACGGTCCTGCTTAGGTATGTTAAAGGTTGGGTCAGGGAGAGGACAGCCTCCAGCATGATTTCTTGAAGGACTTGAAATGTCACAACTTTTTTCAGAACTTCTTCTCAGAAGTTCTTCTGTCCACTGTTATAACACGGAGCTATTATACTCAAGGAGTAAGCACGTACAGAGATCAACAGGGTCAATGATGGCCACCGCCAGCACTGCACATGCTGCAAGGACAAAACAAATCACGCGCCGCTTGCAGACTATAAGGAATGCTCGGAGTTGATTTGCAAAGGATTGTGGGTACTGCGCATGCATGTCCGTAACACTTCTGCATGTTCAACATGGCTGCCACGAGATGGAAACCACCGTCATTGGAGACCAAAATTTCAATTATTTCAGTGATTGTTCTGATATACCAATGATAATGAAAGTCTGGTTACGTCTTTACATCCCCAAAACGTCTCTCTTAACAATAAATAGAATGGCTACCTAACACAAATTCTCAAAAATATGCAACAAGAAAACTGAAAGAATGGAGCTGATCCAGAGGAAAATAAAAAGCACACAAAAACATGGGAAGATTCGTTGTCCTTTCTTTCATTGACCACAACTGTCTCGGCATGAAACCTCATCATTTTGTCAAATGCCTTCCTGCAGCATGTTTCCACCTTCTTTTAACCGTAGGAACCACTAGGGATTCCGACTTATGATAGAAATATTGCATTTCATATTTTGGATATTCGTTATCTACCACTGGAACTGAAAAATGTCATAACTGACTTTAAAAATGTCAGACTTTTGCCAAATGACCACCGCCGATTCGGAATTTTGAGCGCATCTGTGGGGATCACTCACTGACTCCTGAGGACTACTGAAGAGATCTGTGCATATTCTTGGTGCATCTTTTCCACCATTTATTACTCCAGTATGCTGCAGCAAAACACAGCGAGTATTTGGGTTACCAGCTACCCGGTTGTGGCGATCACTGTATACAAAGAATGTCTTGGGTCTTCAACACTGGGGCAGGTAACGACACTTTGCCTATGGAGCCGACGGAGCAGTTAATTGGATTACGGTCTGTGGGGACTTCGTTCTTATTCCTTGTGTTTAATAGCTCCATGGTTATAATAACTGCATACCCAAGTAACTCTCCTAGAAAATTGAAAAAAACAGAGGGTCCCCCCTGCACAAGGAAGGTCAAAGGTCGTGCATTCTTGAAAATCATCAGGTTCAGAGCCTCCAAATCTCAAGATCAAAAAAATATTTTTGTACATTTCTTTTGTTTAAATGAGCCGGGGGAAGGGTTACTCTTTTAAAGTAGAAAGGCGCTGCCCTAATGTGTAAGCAGATTGCATTTCAAGTGGAATGAAGGTTGGGTTTTGCCATCTCTATGAAGGCCATATGAGGTTTCTGTCTGACTCTCATCTTTTCCACATGGCACAGTTCTGTCGGCACCTTCTCCCATTTGAAACTGGGTGCACATGCCTCTTTGGCTCATGTGGGTATCATACTAGGTTTCAGGACGTCCCTTACTGATCTTGTCAGTCACCGCTGGTATAAACCTGGCTCCCTGGAACTTCTCCTTAGGAAACATGAGTGGGCTTTAGGCTTCGTGAATCACTTCCATGCTGAAACACTGTATGTATCTTCAAGTAACAACTCTGTTGCTATATAGTTGAGTTTATCATTTGCCATACAGCTCTGTTGCTGAGCAGTTTAGTTTATCATTTGCCATAAAAAGGAAGGGGGCAACCTTTAAATGGCAGAGGACGATGACTGTTCCAGTCTGTCTGCCGCCCTTGGTTGAAGTGACCTAAATGTACATAGCACAGTTGGCAGCAAGTCATTTTTGGAAAGCTCAAGTCAGGTCACAAGTCATTTGGCTCAGTCACAAAGTCAAGCCGCAAGCCATTTGGTCAGAAGACAAGTTAAGTCACAAGTTGTTTGGTACAAACACAAGAGAAACTACTAGTTCCTTTGTGCAAGTACAAGTCAAGTCACGTCACACATTATTTTGTCCAGCTGTAATGAGCAAACAGGGCCAGGAGGGATCAACTGCCGGAGTTGTGTCTGGGCCATCTGTGACATTTCTGAAACCATCTGGGAGCATACAACCCATGATTGCCATTTCAGGTACAAGGGGTGGGAAAACAATAATAACCTCCACCCTCACAGGTACTTTTGTTGGCAGGATGGAGAGACGCATATGAAGGGTAAATTGACTTGCCTTAGAATGCAACATACCTGGTTAGCTGCTGGATTACAAACACTGACCCCATGATTGGAAGCTTGCTAACCTTTACCACTAGGCCAGATGTTACTCATAAAAAGCTTATGATCACAGTCCTCTCTGAATTGCTCTGTTTTGTAACTAAGCAACCATATTAAGGGCCTATTTAAACAATTGGAGTAGCTCCAACCTATATTCTACAGAGGATTTTGAGAAAAGGGGGGAGGGGTTAGCAAACTCAGAGGGTCAAATGCAAGCCTGCAAATACACTGGAGACAATTTATAATTCACTGCCATGCAGATGGTGGTGGGGAGGGGGCACTCTATCTCATTTCCCCCTTTCTAAATCAGCGACTCGATCCCAGCTTGTAAATATTGAACTGACTACGGAGACCTATCTTGAATGCACGATCTGCTGATGAGGTCATGTAGGTCCTTGATCTCCTGCTGTCGACATTCCAGGAAATTTCTCATTTCATACCATAACAGCCAAAGTGCGTACACTTTCACTGTAGCCTGCAAAAACCTCGAGGCACCAAAGCAGCCTCTGACAAATTTTTGGGCCTAACTTTTAGGTCAGGGAGAATGGTCCTGTCAAGGGGAAATGCATGCACACTATGCAGCTGAGATCCTCACCAGATTTCACGTAACAGTGGTGGAACTACTTTCAAAATGGGGAGGGGTGGGAGCATTTGTGAGACCATCATGTATCAGCCGTATAGTGGACCTGCCCAAAGTGGCCCCCTCCCCGTCCGCTGCCAGTGTCTCAGATATGATTTCTTGGCTGACAGGTTTGACAGGAAATCAGCAGGAAAGGTTCCTTTGCAGCAAAGCCAGGCAAGCCGTTACAGGGTAATTGGTCAGTCAGTGGGAGTGAATCTGACCTTGGCTGGTTCCAAGTGGCAATGATTCATCAATTAAAAGGAAAAGGAGCACATGTCCATAATTCTTAGAGATGCAGGTACCAGTTGACCTTTTATTTGTAAAATGGGACACCATACAGTGTTGTAAGTAGTTGTGAGGCCATTTCTGCAGTTTCGGGTATCATGATTTGAAAGGTTAGACAGTGGAAATAAAAGTGCCACTGAGTGAATGTGTGATGCGATCTGCCAAAACCCTTCACATTGTGAGCTTTGTCAGTTAGGTGCATATAAACTTACAAGTCTACTATCTGCAACCTACGCAGATTACCAATACATATGCACTATTTCCTAGTCCATTACTTCCATTCGCTAAATTCTCAATCATAAGCAGTGCGCCCTCACTCGCTCGACTCCTGTGAATGTGGCCGCCATGTTCTTCCTCTTTTTCTTAGGGCCATTTCTATGGACACGCTCTTGGTTTTAATCATATTACATTCAAGATTCTAGGTTGTCTACAACAAGAATCTAGATTATCTATAATCCTAAATTAAACAGTTTTGAAAATAAGACAGTGCCCCGATCAGTTTGAAGTTGATATGAACCAAAATGACAAAGCTCACCATGTGAAGGGTTTTTGCAGATCACATCAAATATTTTTGAATCAATTAAATTGTGTGTATTTGGACACACTGCATGACAAAGGTAGCCCTCTTCAAAACTGGGGCAAAGTTTGTCCCTCTGCCCCACCCACCACCATACTCAATCCTTTTACCAGTCCTGTTGAACAGTATCCTATGTCCCTTCCTTTGCATTGTCCAATGTCATCCCTGATCCCATTGAATCCCCTCCCCCGAATTTTCATCCCAAACTGCACTCCTATCACTATTAGCCCCATGCTTTATCTCAAATGTTCAACCAACTACCCTCCAGCAATATGTTTTCATAAATCCAAATCTGCTGTCCCGTTTCAGCCCTTGGCAGTCCTGAAACCTTATCCCCATAGCCCCCCATAGCAACCATGTTGCTATCCACAGGTCTCATCGGTATTTCTAGCCCTGCTCAATTCCTCTGTAAATGCATCCTAACCTGAACCCTGGCCGTTCTTCCAATCCAACCCCCTTACCCGTGACTACCCTGGCCCATCCCAACCTTCCTGTTGTCCCCCTATTTCCAATTGTAACCTTTTCATTCTCATCTGCTTTGCCCCCCTCCTCATCCCCTTCATTCACCAGTAACTGTCACATTCCAGGAAGACCATAACATTCTCTTATCAACCATGGTGGTCCCCTGCAGCTAAATTGCCTACTTCTGGGTCCTCATACATAACAGGAAATAGCAATCTGTCAAGACCGAGGAGAAAGTGGGTCACCAAAATAGAAAGTTTTCGCGAGGTCTGTAGATAAGTTTAATTTTGCCAGGATAACCTTTGAAACAGGAATAGTTCATAGTTGCAAGGGTCTGCTTTATAGTGGATGAGATTCAGAGGGTTTCACATACACTGTGATGTAACTTTTTAAAAAGTGTACTTAAAAGAATATGTCGTGTGATTCTTGAAAAGTCACGGGGATGCTCGTATTGTACTTTTCCCTTTGTGGTTGATGTACACTTTGATTTTCTTTCTGCTGTGGGCACATGTCCCTTCCTCTACACCACTGATGGTATCAAGGGTGGGAAACCCTTGTTTTGACAGTGAAAGCCCACGGGAATAACATGTTTCTCTACCACAAGACTATTTCCTTGGAGAACTACAGAGCTGATAACCTCAGGGGAACCTCAAGGCAATGAAATCTCCCATGCTGCCAAGATGTTGGGAAACAATCCTTTACATTTACTGCCAGGGGAATTGAATAAATGATCTCTACATTGTTGCCTCATCGATAGAAGCTGTGTTGAACTTTGTATTGTTTAATTGAGCTCTTTGCTAGCCATTTTAAAGGAAATAGGCATTAACACCACACGAAATGCCAAAGGATTTGTTGGGGTAGTGCTTAATCAATACCATGGATGTTGTGGCTATCCGGTCAGTGGAAAAGCATATGGCTCACTGCCAAGAAATAAATGTTATTCTATAATAGAAAGGTAGAGAATTACTGCTATTCATAATCAAACTTGGTTTACCCGATCAGTCTCCCAGCATCTCATAAACTGCGATTTGGTTTTATCTTTTCCAGATGTGAATGAGTGCACCCAGGGAGGGGGACAGGTTTGTCACCATATCTGTCAGAACACCCATGGGAGCTACCGCTGCTCTTGCCGTCCAGGATTTGAACTCCAATCAGACGGAACAACTTGCCGGGGTAAAGGCTCCAAGACTAACCCCAGCATTGTTAAATCTCTCATGATGAGCTCACCCAGTTCTCACAAGATAAAAAATTACCTGGTTGAAAGCTGGAATGAACCCAGGGTGTACATGATTGATATTGCATGTATTGCAGCTGCTTGAAAGCAGAGCTCCTCTCACCCGGACACTCGGGCAACATTGAAACTCAAGTTTTACATTGAATCAGGGTTCAAACTGATGGAAGATTATGACTTTGGTCATCAATTAACGGCAAGTCCTGTTGTTTCATCTCTGTGAGGAATTTCATATGTTTTGCTGTAGATATTGATGAGTGCAGCCAGGGATCGAATGGCTGTTCTGGGAGCTGCATCAACACGATTGGCTCATACCAATGTAGCTGCACGCAGGGCTACACCAACAGAGGTGGAACATGTGTGGGTAAGGTGGCGTTGTTGTCGTCTCCATTCCAGGCTGTTCCATGCTGATGGACCTTAAATGTGCATTGACACATATTATTTTTTGGTTTGGTGTATTGAGTGGGTAAGCTTGTTACCACTGCAAAATCTTGCACATTGTGGCATTAAGGTTTTTTCCAAGTTTTTCCAAGGTCATTTTGGCATGTGTTGGTTTGTACCTGAAGAAAGAGAATGCTCACTGATAAAAAGCTCTTACAGTCATGGACCTCATTTTGCACATCCTGGAGACTTCTTTGGGTCCATTGGACTTTAGTTAAAGTTCTCACGCTTATAGTGCCGTTTCTGATACAACACTCCAAGTAAAGTCCCAGGTAAAATAAAAACATGGGAAGTGGCTTCCGTGTCAGCATCCAGATGTTTGGGCCCAGTATTTATATAAAGTGCAGGAGTACACCAGCATGAATGAAGAGTACACATATATCTGCTAACGTTGTGCAAAATTCAACCTTCACTGCACTGTGAAAACACAAAATGGTTGCATTGGTGTAGAGCACTGAACGGATACAATAAGAGCTCTCTATGGCGAATCTCTTGTAACATCACAGTTGTCCACAACTGTGGAACATGATGTCAGAGTCAAAAGGGAAAAGTCTCAACTTGGGGTAATTTTGTTTTTCTTTCGTGTAGACATTGACGAGTGTCAGATGAGCAATGGTGGATGTGAGCAACTCTGCGTCAACACCCAAGGGAGCTTCCTGTGCTCCTGTCGCCAAGGTTACACACTCAACAGTGATGCCAGGACCTGCACGGGTCAGTGCTAAGTATTTGATTTGTTCAGTGTTTGGGAAAGATCCAAATAAAGCAATCTGGCTTAAAGATTTTTCACCGACTGAGCTTACTTTCACATGGAGGCTGCTACTTGACAGAAAATGACCCAAACACTTAACATTGATATGAAATCTTTTCATTTTATCAAAAATCAAGTCTTTTCATGTTTCAACATCAACTACTATTGATCCAAAGTTTATTTAAAGGCTGGGATTTACATAGATATGAAGTCGAAAAAAAAGCAAAATCAGTCCTTTGATGAATTTTTATTCGAAGAAACATCTAAGAATAAAATGAAATCTTTTCCATTTTATCAAACATCAAATCTTTTCATGTTTTGGCGTCAACTAGTATTGATCCAAAAGTTGTTTCAAGGTTGGAATTTCCATAAAAATAAAGTCGACACTGTATACCTTTTGAAGGAATGAAATGCAACAAGTTGACTCAAGTGGACAAAAGACTCATTTTGCTTGATCGCATCACATGTTTATAAGCCTGGCCTGAAAACTTCTACTTTGGGTGTTAACGAGCACAAGAAGTCTTAATTTTGAGCTTCACATGGTCATTTTTGAGGGTAGAATTTCAGAGCCCATATACTTTCAGTTCCTGGTCTCATTTTGGAATATCTGTCCTTGGAAAATGATTTCAGATGTGGATGAGTGCGGGCAGTTTTCCGGGCGGGTCTGCGAGCATGGCTGTGAGAATGTTGATGGCACGTACCAGTGCAGGTGTCCTTCGGGGTTCAGGCTGCATGCCAACAAGCAGAACTGCATTGGTGGGTATCCCGGGGGCTCGGATGGAATAAGAGTAATGCATTATCTCTGGTATCTGAACTGTAAAAGTGATCCTAATGACTTTCCTTAGAGGGAATTAGTTAATTATGTACAGGGATGTGTCCCATCCTCAGTGCGAAAGTAATGAATTTTGTATCTTTCTGATTGGAGCGGGAGGAGTCTGAATTATTGTCCAACATTTTGAGATAAAAAAGCAGGGGCGATGAACTCCTTGCAAGGGGGGAGTTGATAAGTGTCCC